TTTCTAATTTTGCTGTAGAGAGAGTATAAGCTATAATAGGAAGGAACAAGGGTTTTTGCTAGTTGAGATAAGGATAGCTATAAAGGGCATTGACTCACATTGATTTCCTGTGCGTGGGTGTTACCTTCTAGGTTAATTCTTTTTGATCTAACCTTTTCTCTAGTACCTGTTCCCCTTTTCCTATTGACCTCAGTTGCTTTAAGGTATCTGCTTTAGTTTCTCTGCGTTAAGGGCAACAAATGCTAGCTAGTTTTTTAGGTGTCTTACCTATCCTCATCCCTTCCTTGCAGCACAACCTTTTCAATGAGAGGTTGAAAACAAATGCCCTGGGCAAGAGTTATCTTTATTTAAAGTATACAATGTCATCTTTTGTCCCAGCAAGTGAGCATAAAAGAAGATAACACTGTTGGGATGGAAAGAAAATGAAAAAGCAATAGGACTGAGAACAAAGCCTACATGGACGACTCATACATTATTGGTTCACTTTGCCATTTCTAAAATTATTGCACAATACTCCTCACGGACTCTAACATGTTGGGGAAAGTAACAGGTCTCTGCTATGGGCTGGGCACTCACTGGGCTGTGTGGAATTTGGAATGTAAACTCCTTGCTAGAAGAACAAAGTAATGTAGTGGCTAAGAGCACAGAGTCTGAACAGAGTCTATCAGGGTTCAAATTCAAGCTCTACCATTTGAACAAATTAACCTCTGTCTCCTCTTTCATAAGAGAGATAACAATAATATTCCCCTCATTGGATTGTTAAGAATATTACGTGAATCACCATATGCAAAGCGTGTAGAACACACTTTTGTATGGCACAAATAAGTGCTATAGAAGCCAAGAAAGACCTAAAAGCTGTCTCCAAGTAGGTCCTATTGGGCGTAAAGATCTCTACTTTCTCTCAGCTCTGTGTTTGTTGCTGTTTTAAAAGCTTAAAGTTTTTATGAGTCAGATGCTCTACCACTTGAGCTATGTCCCCAGCCTTAAAGTTTTTAAAACATCAAGTATTATTTGAATTAAAGTAAGGAGTAGCCTATACTTAGTGCTACCAATGTCAATCACTGGTGACTAGCATAGACATGCATATGTACCCATGAATGTATGACTTGGGAGTAGGGTGAGGTGTGTGGGTCCCACCTGTATAAAGAACAGAAAAGCAGGGTGTGCGGTATATGCTACAGAATGAAGGGATCCTGGAGAAAGTACCCTCCTCTCGCTATTCACTTGGCACCCAGGGATCCCCCTCATGCTATGCACTCTCCAGATGGCAATGCCAACCCTGTCTACTCATCTTTTATTACCAGGAAGGATCTGTTCCTCAGTGAATTTCCTTTCCATTCATTTTCAAATGACTTTTCTGATATGAACATTAAATATGCACAACAAAGACCAAAATAGAGGCTGAGGTGTTAGTATGGATAGATTTGCATAAGTATACGTACAGTATATGTGCCCATATTGAAATGATATAGTGATAATATTGTGTTGCTATCTCAGAGGGAGAGCTAATTAATTCAGCTATTGAGATGGTAATGATTTATTTCTCAGTTAATACCACAGTTTAAAAAAGAAAGCCTGTAGAAGTGTTCTATGTGCCATCCCTTTGACTCATCTTGCAATAAGGAAGTTCTTCTGTTAACTATTGAGCTGTCTATCAGCATCTACACCAGTTTAAAGGGAAATCATTACTGGTAGAAGGTAAAGATCAATAGGAAGACTGAATCAGGTAGGTGTAGGTGTTCACTGAGCTCATGGTTTGCCACCAGGATTAAAAAGAAAGAGTTCTCCCTTTGCTTTTAGCTTCCTTTAAAATGCATGCTTTGGTATTTGGGCTCTCAATATAAATGCTGATATGAAGCACAGAAGTCTTTTTTTAGACTTTATTTGCTTGGAATGACATTTAGGAAAATGTTAAGATCTTTCCTACTAAAATTTATGCCATCTGACAAATTCACAAGCAAGTCCGGTGACTTTGTTAGCCTTGACATCTGACTTTTCCTTTGGTTTCTGTTTTCATATTTAATTAGTCACCACAGACTGGAATGTTCTTCCATTTCTCCTTTCTTTTCTCTCCCCATCCATAACCTCCCAGCTCTACTATGGTACATGTCTCCAGTCTCCAGTCTGTAATCTTGCAGTTGGTCCCACCTTTCTTCATCTTGTTCTAAGGATTCCTCCCCACATTCAGGTTAGGTCATACTTTCCCCTGTCGGTCTCTTTAATGGCATCTCTCTTTCTACATGGTGAAGCTATCAAGGTCTTTATTTGACTTTCAAGGGCATTTAAATTCTATTCTCGCTACATCTTCTTACCCATCCCCTGTTACTTCCATACTGTATACTCCTACCAAGATGGATTATCTGCCATCCTTGGAGTTTCTGTAACATTCTGCCTTTGTTTATTTCCTAGAATGTCCTTCCTCCCTCATGGTCCATGTTTCAAAATCCTACTTATTCTCCCAATCCTCACTCAAATTCTTCTTCCTTTGTGAAACCTCCTCTGATTTCCCCTACTTGAAATTAGTTGTAGTCACTCCCAGCCCATGTAATGCCTTTTCCTCAACACACTTGACTTTTAGGTATTGGGAAATCATTATATTTGCCTCTGCTGGAAATTTGTCATAATAAATTACAAATTTCATGTCTGCAAAGCAATTGTTAGCCTACTTCTTACATGTAGCACAACATTACAAGTATATGATGTGGGCCTAAAATAATCACTTTTGCTTTTATGTTCCATTCATTTTTGACTTAGTTAGCTTCCACTCCATCTTGTATTGGACTGTGAATTTACTTCTTCCTCTTCCCACTACACTGGAAGCGCTGAAGGAAGGAATGTCTAATTCATCTTGCTATCTCCCGAGTGAGAGAACACAGATTTCAGGGAGGAGGTATTTAATGTTAACTTATTCTACCCTCCTGTGATGCCAGAAAGGCAATTATGACACAGTGATTAGGAGCCTGAGCTTTAGAGCATGGCTTTCTGGGTTTGAACCCAGAAATAATAATCATGTCAACTGGATACAGGTGGCCTATGCCTGTAATCCTAGCCTCTCAGGAGGCAGAGATCAGGAGGATCACAGATTGAAACTAGCCTGGGCAAATGATTTGCAGGCCCCTGTCTCCTAAAAACTCATCACAAAGAAGGACTGGTGGAATGGCTCAAGTTGTAGGTCCTGAGTTCAAAGCCCAGTACTGAAAAAAAATTATGTGATCATGGCCAAAGTACTTAACCTCTCTGTATCTTTTTTCTTCTTCTCCTTCTTCTATAGTATAGGAAGATATAATATTACCTTCATCATAAAATTAATATAAGGATTAAATTTTGATCTGGAGGTAAAGTGGTTAGAACAATAGACCGTAAATACTTAAGTGTTAAATATTATTCCAGCAGTTTGTTGAAATAAGCAGGACTCATGTCTTAAACCAGAGGAAGGCAGCATGGGGTTATCATAATTCCAGGCTAAGAGCATCATATCGAGAGTCTTTGGTGTAAAGAGTGTGGGGTTTACTGCCAAATTCCTGTATGCTGAAAGAGATATAAGCTGTGGGGTAGAACAGAAATGAATTTGCTCTCATTAAGAAAGTACAGATGAAATTATCCCAGTGATAGGTTTTCTAAAGAGCCCAATTCAAGGGAGAGTCAACTTTGAAAACTTGCTAAGCACACCTAGTATAGCAGCTCCCCCATCATCCATAGAGGATATGTTCTAAGACCCCCTAAAGAGATGCTCAAAACCATGGAGATAGAAACAAACCCAAGTACTTGACATATACATACCTATGATAAAGTATAATTTATGAATGAGGTGATCAGGCATGGTAAGAGATTGTCAAAAAATAACTAAATAGTAAAAAATAGAATTATTATAAAAAATTCTGTAATAAAAGTTATGTGAACATGCTCTCTCTCAAATGCTGTCGGGTGGGTAGCATATACAGCATGGATATGCTGAATAGTTGGTTCACATCCTGGGTGTGACAGAACAGGACTATATGAGATTTCACCACACCTCAGAACAGTGTGCAATTTGAAATTTATGAATTGTTTATTTCTGGAAATTTCCATTAATATTTTTGGGCTGTAGTTGACCACAGGTAACTGAAACCTTAGAAATTGAAACTGTGTATAAAGGTGTAGGACTCTGGATTAGCCAAATAAGCATTTTCTTGTCACTTCTTCCCTTGCCTCCCCGCACCCCCCCCCCACATAGGCCTTAACTCTGGTAATGTCAGAACCCTTGGTTAACCACTTGGAGGAGGACAAGTAGAAGTGGGGAGTGGGGAAAAGGAGAAGCAGAGATGAAGCCGGTCACATCCCTTCCCTAGCTCAGGGTATCTTACCCATAACAGGCTGCAGCTGTGTTACACCTTCTCCAGGGAGATGTTTGCTTTTAACTTAAGGTTGGCATTTTATTATTGCACCAGACTGGCACATTAAGTACTGACGAATTGAAACCTTGAATGCAACCTTCTTCCTGAATGCCTGGTAAACAGCAATATACTTCCCAACTCTTAGCTTATTGCTCACTTCCTGCCTTGACCATTCTGTGTCTGCTCTAAGCTGGCACGCCTCTTATCAGAGCCCTTATAACCCTTACTTTCACTTGTTTACTTGTTTGCATGTCCTTGCCTTTGGCCAGCCTTTAAACTCTAGGAAGGCAGGGATGAATTATTTGCCTTTATAGCGCCAGTACCCAGTGCTCACTGACACATAATTGTCTTTCAATTGAGATACATGAAAATAATTTGTCTTAAAAACAAACTATGATTTTCCTAAGAGAGGCTATAATTCAAAAATTTTGGTGAGATAAATTAAAAACAGGAGCTTTTCTCAATAACATAGTGCAATGAAGGTACCCCTTGTGACTGGTATACTAAAGGATTGCCTGGGTGCTATTCAGCAGTTCATGGAAAAGCGATCTGTCATCTCTGAATCCAAACTTGTCCCTCTGAGAAGTCGTTCGGGAATTTTTATACTTTTCAGTGTTTCTTCCACAGGTTTCTTCAGGAGAAGCATTACCAAAAACGCCGTGTACAAGTGTAAAAATGGAGGCAACTGTGTGATGGATATGTACATGCGAAGGAAGTGCCAGGAGTGTCGACTAAGGAAGTGCAAAGAGATGGGGATGTTGGCTGAATGTATGTATGCAGGTATTCACTTCAAGCAATTAAATTCCACTAAAAAATCTCTTAAGGAGGCAGATGCCAGGTAACTCATATCCAAAGGATGATTCTTTGCATATTAAGAAGGAAATCTACTAAGCTGTCTAGGTTCTGGAAAAGGGTAAGGAGCCACTGAAATCATTTGAGCTGTCAACTAAAGAGCATCTTATTCAGCTGAAAAGAAATGACTTGTTTTTTGTTGTTCTTTGTTGCAAGGGATTATACATAGTGTGAGGTGGTATTAATATATGTTTAAAATAATATGCTTTAATGAGCTATAAAGAATGACAGTCTGAAAGTTTCCTCTAAATTTGATTTTTATATACTTCTTATTTATTGCTTAATTAGCATAAAAATTCACAGCTATGGGGAAAACTAAGAATGCTTTATAAAGTGTAACTGCCTCTGAATTGTCTAATAGAGTTTTAAACCAAGTCATTTTATTAAGAATATTTTTTCTCTTAGTGCAGCTTTGAAACAATTTGTATAGGTTTATACAGGAAATTAACTACCCTGAGTTTTAATATAATTTTGTCCTTCAATCTGATAAAGAAACACTGTATTAACTGCTGGCTTTGTGAGGAACCATAATCTTCATCAAAAATTGGAATGCATGTTAGTATGTAACATAATTAATATTTCATTCTGCAAATTCTACAGACCACTCAGATTCTGAGATATGCCCTGTTTCTCCTCAAAACACAAATAGACAAACAAATGTCACCAAGGAAATGATAACATTCAGGGAAGGAATGCCACATGAAATAAAAGCCTGTGGAAGGTGACTCCAGTTCTATTGTTCCCAAACTGTACAGGCAACTGGGATGGACCCAGAGAAATAATGTGTGCAGGAGGGAGAAAAATAGGTCTGTGTAAATAATCCAGCCCTGGCTGGATGAAAGTTTTATAGTGGCTGATCACAATCTCATTTTAGTATACATGAAACAAGATCCTGAATAGGGCTGCTGCTGGAACCTAGTCTTGCAATGGAAATACTGACTTTGACACTGGGTGGTTCATGTTGCTTATGACTTAAATATGAACTTGCTCCATTTGAGCCCTGAGGAAATTTTGCATGAGTCCCCCTATGAAAGCCTGTAGTGTTATTAATGAACACAAATTTTCCCAGTAACAGATATAGATCTTCCATGAGTTTATAAAATAAATTCCCTGTATAAAGAACTTCCTGAAACTTTGTTTCATTAATGTTGGGAGAAGAATTAAGAAGTTTAATGGTAATATAGAAAGTTATTCTTCACTATTTTTAATAGCTTGGTTTAAATATAAGTCAATGGTGACACTATGTGATCACTCAAAAAATTTTCAGTCACATTGTTGTTTAGCTTTCTATTACTATTTAAAAAAAAAAAACACTTGAGGGCTAGAGACATGGGTCAAGTGGTAGAGCACCTGCCTAGCAAGTATGAGACCCTGAGTTCAACCCCCATACTGCCAAAAAAACCAAAAAACAAGCCAAAACCACCCTTGCCTGAGACAATTATAAAGAGAAAAGGTTTCCTTTAGCTTACAGTTTTGAAGATTCTAGTTCAAAACTAGAATGGGTCAGACCCATTGCTTTTAGACCTCCAGTAGGGGTGCTGAAAGCAATAGTAGGGAACATATGACAGAGAAAACTGCTCACCTCCTGACAAGGAAGCAAAAGAGAAAGAGGAAAGGGCTGGGGCCCCACAGCCTCTTTTGAGGGCACACTCCCAGTGACTTAAGAAGCCCCCGCTTCCTAAAGGTTCTACCACCTCCTAATAATGAATACCACACTGGGGACCACACCTTTTACACATGGGTTGTTGAGGGGACATACAAAGTTCAAACTGTAGCACTCCTTGAATATTTTACACTCGGTAATTTTGTATGAAAATTAACAGGATTTAAAATTTTTCCCTAAAGGATGTTATCAACTTTTTTACCCAGCAAACTTAATCGGTGTTTAGTGTGAAATTGAATGTACTTCCTATGGCTCAGTGTGTAATATTGGTAAAAATAATATTAATGCTATGTTTTGAAATACCAGTTTTCTAGATCCCCTAGACCAGAGATAGTGTCATGCACAGTCTTATTGACTAAATACCTTGCATTTTGTACAATGCTTTAGTATCACAAATTCTTTATATAAATCTAAATTTAAAAAAAAATATCTAATTACATTAATCTGTATAAAACCCTGAGGTAGATATTATTTGCATGCTACAAATGAAGAAACTGAGACTCACAGAAGTTAAACTTCTTATTCAAGGTCAAATCTTTAACCTTGGCCTTTTCTTTTTAAATGTCTGAAAGGCTGGAATTAGTTCTGTGCCAAATGTATAGATCTGAGCCAACCACGCAGCATCCAACAGTACTTTCTCTGATGGGGAAATCTTCTGTGCTTATTTTTTCAGGCTTGTTAACTGAAATTCAGTGTAAATCTAAACGATTGAGAAAAAATGTGAAGCAAAATGCAGATCAGAGCCTTAATGAGGACAGTGAAGGACGTGACTTGCGCCAAGTGACCTCCACAACTAAGTCATTCAGGGTAATAACATGCAGTGGTGTTTGCCAAAGCCAGCAGGAGGGGGACTTTCTAGTGATCTGGCTGAGAGGCTTTCAAATAAGAGCCACGGCAGCAGCAAAATTTCCATTTCAATTGTGCATTAAAAAGGATTCCTTCTTTTCTTTTTAATCAAGAGAGAAATACATGCTTTGGTGTAAAAATTTGAATAATATTAGTGTATGAAGTAAACAGTGAAAGTACTTCTTTCTGGTTCCATTCTATTCCTAGTAACTAAGGCTGCCAGTGGGAATGATTTGGTGTGATGATGAAGTTTTTCAAATGAGTTTTCATGTCCATTTTTCCCTAACTTGGGAGGTGTAGACCCAGTAGCCTATGGATTAGTCCTTGTCAATGAGAAAAACAGGGTGAATACAACATCTGTGGACCATCAGAGAAAAAGTCTTTCCACTAAGTCACAAATTTCTCAAGAAATCCTTGAGCAATGTAGGACAAATAGTGAAACAGGATTCTGAATGATTAGATGGACACACTGTAATAACGCACAGGACATGTGGAAGAATTTTAATTTGCCATTAGCTGAAAAACAAATAAGCCACATGGTCTGGTAGACCAATCACCAATATTCATTATATGATTGTCAAAGTGAACTTCACCCACTTTTATTTTTTCAAATATGTTATTTTATATTTTCCAGAAAAAAATAATTTTTTAGAAAAGTTTTATTTATTTTTTTTGTGGTGCTTCATCAGCAACTCTTTGGTATAAGGAAGCAAAAAGTTGACACAATTATTCAGACTCCTCAAAAGACTATTAGGAGGAAAAGAAATAGGGCTGGATGTGGCTCCAGTGGTAGAGCACTTGCCTAACATGCACAAGGCCCTGTATTGATTCAATGCCCAGTACCATTTAAAAAAAAAAAAAAAAGAGTAAAAGATGTTTGGGATCTGAATTGCACAGACTCATGACTATTTGGGGGACCAGCAATCCTTTTCTCTGTAAAGTGCTTTGGCCACATGATATCTATTCCAACTGCTTACTCTGCCATTTTAGTGCAAAAACAGCATAGACAATACATGAACAAAGGAGTGTGGCCATATTTCAATAAAACTTTATTTATAAAACCAGGTGGATTGCCAGGGGCCACAGTTTGTCAAATCCTCAATATAGAATGAACATAATTGGATGGAGTCTTCATTTTGTATACATGAATGTTTCCTTAGTTATGATTAGACTTTCAAATTTCACTGACTTTTAACATGAACTGATTCCTTAGGCTTCATGCATTTCCCAAGAAATACATGAAAGGAGTGTTTTATTCTCCCTATTTTCTAGATAGGAAAGTGAGCAACTTGGAACAAATTTAGTGAAATATGATATTGCTTACCTGAGGATCCAGATAAAACAATTATGCTCTATGTTAGAGCTCACGGATCTTGCTTTTCTTTTGAGTTTTCAAAATACTTTGCTATTTGTTCACTCCAGATGAATGAGGTTTTGGAAGAATGGCTATAACCATCTTCCCTAACACCTTTTATTTTCTTGCCAGTGTAGGAGAAAACTGAACTCACCCCAGATCAACAGAACCTTCTGCACTATATTATGGATTCCTATAGCAAACAGAGGATGCCCCAGGAAATAACAAATAAGATTGTACGTATAATATCTGAAAATGCATTTATTTAAAGTTAGCATTTTCTGGAACTTTTGCTACCTTAGAGATGGGATTCGTATATGGATGTGTTATTTGAAATGATTAGAGATGAGAATTCAAGTTAGAGATTTCAGTTTTTAGCAGCATTAAGCCGTTAAAAAGGAAGAAATCTCCCATCTATCTTGTTCAAATAATTACTCTCCAAAGATCTCAGAAATAATGAGCTGGGTCTTTGAATTTTATTATGTAAGTCTGTTTTTCTTTAATCATTTTATATTGATTTATCCTTTTCCTGTCTATTTATTAATCATTTGCTTTTGTTCTAAAATTTAGTTAAAAGAAGAATTCAGTGCAGAAGAAAATTTTCTCATTTTAACAGAAATGGCTACCAGTCATGTACAGATTCTTGTAGAATTCACGAAAAAGCTTCCAGGTATTTTTTTAAATAATAAAAGTTAGTATTCATTGAGCATCTAAAATGTGCCACAGATTTTATTATCCACTTTACATGTTTAATTCTCTATTTGCTCATGTCTGTTATCACTATTACTACTGGTCTGTATTTGTGCGTAAAGTTGTTTCTCTGCTACACTGTACAGCACCCTTGTGACACTGAGAGATGTAGAAATCATCCATCTGATTTAAATTAATGTGTCTAACTAGTATAGACATGAAACGATAGAGCCACAAAAAATATTTAAAATCATTTATAAGTCTTTCAAACTAATAGATAAAAATTGAGACTTTGCAAAGTAATCATTCATCCCTTTATTTACTCCAATAATAGTTGTTGATACTCATGGTATACTAAGTGCTTAGCGGTACCTTCAGGGGAAGTAGTTAAAGTACTGGTGAGAGTATGGTACTTAGCTGCTTAATTGTGTCTGGGAAAGATAGGGAGTCTTCAGAAAGTATTATATCTGAATTGAGTCTAAAAAAAGGAGCTTTCCATTTGTCGTGGAGGAAGGGGCAGTCCAAGTTGAGAGATCTGCTTGTGAAGAGGTTATGAGGCACAAACAAGAGTAGGGTCATTAGAGATGGGAGAAAACTTAGTGTGATTGTAGCATTGTGGAATCCTTAGTTAGACAATATAGGAAGCTGGTATCTGATGAGAAGGGCATAATGAAGGAATTTAATCATTGTCCCTTGGATGGTAGGAAAGTTTTTTTGGTGGCTTTTACTATTTCAGAGAGGGAAATGATGACATTTTTGTTACAGAGAGATTATTACATCAGGTTTGTATTAGATAGATTCGAATGAGAAGAGATGGGAGGTAGGGATAATCAGTCAGTATGCTACTGTATGAGTCTAGGCAAGAGGGCCGTGGGAGTGAAAAGAACAACAACAAAAAAAACCCCTGAAGATGGATTCAAATATTGATTGGGGCTCATGAATAAGTGTATGCATAAGGAGGAGAGGAGGGGCTTGGCTGCAATCATTTTGGTGGTGCCAGTGCAGAAAATGGAATACAAGAGTCTTATCTCCTTGCCTAATATTTCTTCTGCCACATTGTTGATGCTAATTAAGTTAAATTTCTTCAGTGTTTTCTTTAAAAATTAGTACATTAGACTCCCATGGTCTAGAAGAGCATAAAGATATCTTGTTCAGTGTAACACTGTAATATTAAATTACAAGTAACTTCCACCATAGGACTTTAATTAGATATGTTCTGCGCTTTTTTTTGCCAGTATTATGCTATTATTTTGTTAAATGTGTCACAGATGACATAGGTCTACATAAAACTCCTAAAATGTGGGGATAACATTTTCACTATCATTGAACTATTAATATTGTTTCTTTATTAAAAATGAAAGAGAAACTTAATTTGATATATGCTAATTAATCCAATGGCAATCCTGATAAAAAAGATTACACAAAGTAAAAGTTGTGAGGGTAAGAAATAAGAAAGGTAGAGAAATTCAGTATTTTTATGAAAACGTTTTTTAGTTCAAATGGTCATTGTGCATGAACTAAGTAATACTTGAAGCCAAAAACATTGTTGAGAAGTAGCTTATCTGAAAGCACTGGAAATATCTTAACCTCTTTTCATTCCCAGTGCCCAGCCTAGCTCCTGAGGGAGAATATAATTAATGTATGTTCAATGAGTAAAGCAGTAGGAAAGACTTTAAAAATATAGAAAGAAGGAAATAAACATCTAAAAACCCTTGAGAAGGAAAGTTTTTTATTTAACAATAATCACAGGAATGACAATATTATTATGATAGTAATGATAGCAATACCAATAATGAAAGGGTATTTTGTGAAAAACTAAATTAAGTCTTTCCATGTAGTTCACAGAGCACATTTACCCTATGCAAGGCACTGTCCAGGGTGCTGGAGACCCAGAGTAGAGAAAGGCAGGGCTCTTGTCCTCCAGGGAGCTCTTGGATCCTATAGATAATGACTCTGAATCCTTTGCATTGCTCTCCTCGCTAAACTCCCATTGGCATTTATTCCCTTCTTAAGCCATTTAGACTCTGATGGTATTATTTATATCTGTTTGTGTATGTGTGTGTGTGTGTGTGTGTGTGTGTGTGTGTATCAGCATGCACACAAATTTGTGGTTTGTTTCCCATTCATGCAGTCATTCAGTTATGCAATGACTAATTCTTGGGTACCTATTATATGCCAGGAATTGAGGATACACAGGCAAGCAAAACAGACAGCCTCAGCCCCCCAAAAATTTATATTTCAATGGAGGCAACAAACAATTAATAAATAAGGAAATAAGCCCATAGTATCATGTCAGGGAGTGGTAAGTTCTATAAACAGAAATAGCAAGTAGAGACTAGTGAATCTGGGAATACTATTTTAGGTACTGTAACCCTGGATTAGAGATCTGATGGCAGTGAGGGAGCAGGACACGGAGCTGTCTGGGGAGAGCATTCATCCCTGAGTAAACCAGGCTTGCATGTTCACAGCAGAGCCAGAACGTCCCTGTGGCTGGAGCACAGAGTGGGGAAGGAGAGTAGGAACGAGGTTAGAAGGGCTGCTGGGGACTATACCATACAAACATAGGTGTTTGAACTACATGTTTTCCAGGTGGTGTTATATTCATTTAGGTTGGCAATTCTTTTCCATATTTGTCTGCTTCCCCTTGCCTTGCATGGTATAATCCTGTGCTCAGAAAAGATACCTTAACATGACCCTAATGGATTTTTTGGAAGGGGGATACTACTCACTCTGTAAATTTTGACTAAACACTCATGAATCTGCTAAGTATTCTGGATGCACACAGATTTATTTACTTCTGGCTGTGGATGCTTTTGTTCTTCAGAGTTGTCCCTGCACACCAGGTGTGACTAAAATAATGAGTCCCTGAGAATCTACCTGCCTCTTCTGACAATTGCTTCCTTTGATTCAGTCTGTCTCTGCCATAACATATGTATTTGGTATGGACTTATCATGTCCTTTTACTGGATTTGTTCAATAAATCCTACTCAATGAAGATAAAAGTCAGCTTCTCTTGTAGGGGGTCCAATACATACTCACTTGACTCAATTTCAGTACCCAATTATAAGACAATTACAAAATAACTTTATGGAAATGTTTTATCCCAATGGTGATAAGGAAATCTTGTACATATGCAGTATGAAATATTGTTATACAAAGACAGCTCCTTGATACCAATTTGGTTATTGTCTTTACTCAGGATTTCAGACTTTGGACCATGAAGATCAGATTGCTTTGCTGAAAGGATCTGCAGTTGAAGCCATGTTCCTCCGTTCAGCTGAGATTTTCAATAAGAAACTTCCAATGGGACACGTTGACCTATTGGAAGAGAGAGTTCGAAAGAGTGGTAAGTGATTTGGTTAATGGGAAGAGTTTATTTCCACAAGTAGAAGTTGGTATACCTTACAAAGACAAGTTCTTATCTCTCTTAGGCAACATTTCAAACCCATTGTGCTTAACACGGAGAATGGCTCTAAAAAATGTACGTTAAATAAATGGGTCTTTGGGGGCATTGGTTCAAAACTTCTTTCTTGTAATAGAAAAATATCAAAAATACTCTCTGTGTTGCACTAGAAGAGCCAGAAGAAGACTTTTGGAGAGATTAAAAGAATTAGTCTGAGTGGGAACATAATGGAGGGGGTGGACTTGTTCAAGTACAGTGTATGCATGTGTGGATTAGCATAATGAAACCCCCTTGTATTATTAATGTATGCTAATTCAAAATATAATAAAACTATTAAAAATAATCTGATTTTGAAAAATAGCTCAAAGGAAATGGGATTATTCTGTTCCAAAAAAAGATTAATGTATTCAAAAGCTTCAGGTCTGAAACACTGGCCAATCATCCATCCTTATTCAAAATAAAATTAGAAGCAGTTATAATGGTTTAATGTATATCTCATTCACTAGGCTCCTCACACTGTTCTCAATACTTTAGAGCTAGGACTTCAGCAAATCCTTACAAAGCAATTCTATGGGATAAGTACTACTATTGAGACAGAGAGATTGAGTAACTTTCCCCTTTCCCAAAGACAGAAAGTCTGACTTCAGAAGGCACGTGTCTTTTTTTGTGTGTGTGTGTGTGTAATTGAACCCAGGCAGGGACTCCTGTGAGCTGTATTCCCAGCCAGAAGGCATGTGTCTTAACTGCCCTTGAGTACAAATAAAACTCAGTACAAATAATAACTCAGGTCAATTTCCTATGGAGTAATACTATGATAAAACTGTCAAGAGACTGTTGAGATGAATTTCTAGGATGTGTTTTTATCTTTCTGTGAGATCTTATGAATGGTTTGGGGAGGAGGATGAATGAGATGAGATGACTTCTCAAGCTTTTGTTCTTGAAGACTTCTAAACCCAGGATTTTGGGATAGAAACTGGGAAGAAAGTGTTCAGGTGGTGCTGCATCTGTGATCTAAGTAAAGTAATTTAAAAGTTGAAAATATTTTTAAAAGCTGTCTTATGTTTTCTCCTCTTAGTTAAAAACTGAAAGTTGCTGGGTGCAGGTAGCTCATGCTTGTAATCCAAACTACTCAGGAGGCAGATATCAGGAGATCATGGTTCAAAGCCAGCCCAGGCAAATAGTCTCTGAGACCCTATCTCAAAAAACCCTTCACAAAAATAGGGCTGGTAGAATGGTTCACCTCCTGAAAGTCATTTAAAAAATTCCTGCTCTGTTATATGCAAAACAAAAACAAAAAACAAAACTATAATTAGAATTACCAGTGCAGTTTAAAAACATACATTTTTGTTTTCCTTTTTTTTGAGATAGGGTCTTGCTATATAGCTCAGGCTGGCCTCAAACATACTAGGTAAGTCCAGTCTTGCCTGGAACTCACAATCCTCCTGCCTCAGCCTCCCCAATGCCAGGATTATAGGTGTGTGCCACTATGTCCAACTAAAATATACACTTTTATAAGATACATCATTCTTATTTACCCATTGATTTATTAGTGCTTTGGTGGCAATGAAGAGGGGAGTCAAGCATCTAGGGGGAAGAGATGAGCTGCACAAAGTTATAATAAATGTGGAGCTGAGAGAGAATGCTGGTAGTCTAGAAAGTTTTCCTTAGCATTTTAGCTGGGCCTTGAAGGAGATTTGATTTGGATACACAGGGTGCTTCTCCCACTCCTCCTTCTCAAAGATGAGTCATATAAAGTTGATTCAGGTGCCGTATAATGAAAAAAGGGGTGTACTTTTTGTCATGTGAATTAAAATGTTTTGGTGAGAGGATATCTGAAGGAGAATTACTCAGGAGCTGTTCACTTTCTTTCTTTCTCTCTCTCTCTCTCTCCTGGGGGCTCATTTCCATTATCCCATTTTAAAATTTTTTGTGTGTGTGGGTTGGTTTTTTTTTTTTTTGATGGTACTAGAGATTAAACTCAGGGCCTCACATTTGCTAGGCAGGCACTCTACCACTTTTGAATCATGCTTCCAGCCCTTTTAAATTTAATTTATTTTCAGATAGGGTCTCACACTTTTGCCTGGGTGGCCTCAGATCACGAGCCTTCTACCACTGTCTCCTGAAGAGCTGGGATTACAGGCATGTACCACCATGCCTGACCAGGTGCTGCCATTTCTATGATGACTACTGGGGTAGGACCCTTCCCCTATGGTTCAACTGAGAGAAGGGAAAAAAAAAAACCCCAATTTTCCGAAAAGTTTACTGGAATATTAAGGAAAATTGTAAATGTTTAGAAAAGGCATATTTGCATAATGCATGTATCTATTAATTATAGTATCAAAAGATAAGAAATATTCAGTACCTACCATGTGTCTGGCTTTATTCTAAATATGTGAGCTTTAGGTTTTATGAGAAGCAGATACAAAGAAGGGATTAAACATGCAAGAGAGAGGGGATTGAACATGCAAGAGAGAGGGGATTAAACATTTAAAAGAGAGGGGAATGACTCTGAAAATAAAAGAGGAAGAGGCAGGTGTAGGAGAGGAGAACTTCGTGTATACACAATTGGGCTGATCTGCACCCATGAAGGAGTGAACAGCCTCAGAGTATAGCACAGTTCTAAAAAAGTCTAAGCTAGGTTAACCCAGAGGGGCAGATTTGAGATGCCTGTTGAATAGGCCAGCACCAACACCCTGGTTATGCTCAGTAGCTGGCTGGGAGAATACTGCAGTCAGTGCATCCTCCACCTTCACAGGAACAGCAGCTGCAGGCTCTCTAATACCATGCTCCTACTGTGAGCTCCCTTAAAGGGAGATCTGACTGGGGGATCTTCAAGGCCAACATCATGGTTAACAAACATGTCTAATTTGCCCTTCACAACACTTGGAGGTAGATATTATGATTCCTATATCAGGCCTAGACACTGTTAACACCAATAATGTCTTTCCTACAAAAGCCTCAGTCCCAGCACCCCTTCCCTATAATATTACCCTCTATTTCTCAAGCTCATCACCTTCTAAGACTTTTTGATTCGAGTAATTCTTTGTTCCAAAATAATCCCCATTCATCAACTTTTCATGCATTTATCCTCCATTCATCAACTAACTAGTTTTTGCCTGGCCCTGCTTCTTTCAGTACTTGGCTTAGGGTTCATGTTCCACCAAATATAATCACTTTCTTGAGTTAGTTTTGGATATCCTTAACTCTTGAATTTTTTATTCTCTAAGAAAACCTCTTCCCTGACTGAATACAACTCTCCACCTGCTTTGCTTGAACTCAAAAACTGGAACAACTCAATTGGTTTACCTTATTTTACTTCAGAGGAGCTCAGTACTATTAACTTATTTCTCTTCCTTAGTCAACTCACTCATAGTCTTAGGGGAAACCAGCATTTGTACCTGCTCTCATCAAACTTCCAACGTTCCTCTTCCTTCATTCTCAACTGAAAACCTTGTTGGGAAAGGTAGGCTTTTAAGAACATGCATAGGAGTTAGGGCTCAAAGAAATGGGGTGATACTCATAGAAAGAAGGACTCCTTAAACTTAGTCAAGATGGGGATTAAAGGCTGAAGTCAAGTCCCTAGAATTAGATGGAACATAGGGCTCCCCAGAGCTTCCTGAGTCTTGGCCAGGGCTTAGCCTACTGGGGCAAGTAGAGTGGTTCTAGCCATGAAGACACAAAACCTTTAAGGATAAAAGTCAGGTGTGAGCTTCCATCTGGGTTCCCTTGAGTTCTGGCTGTCCCATATTTCTAGAGCTACTCTGCAATACATCAGCTGCCTCCAGCAGGGAGAAACTGTCATCCTTATCAAATTAAGCACTTTACAAATACCTACTTTTTCTTTTACCTGAAGAACACTTCTGACATTAGTTGTAGAGCAGACATGACTGACATCCCCTAAGCCCTAAGAATAGTGAAGCCTTTCTAACTCACTTTATCATCTCAGAATATGTCCTCGTTTTCTAAGGTTGGTGACACATCAGCCTCCCTCCTCTCCCTTGATGAGCCTCACTCAGTCTAGAATGCTATCATTTCTTTCCATTTGACTCTTCCAGTATAGCAACTGTCTAGTAACAATGCAAGATCATTTCTATTAGGTCCTGTGTTCATTTATCTGCTCATTTATTTTTTGCAAGAAATTTTTGTTGAATATTGCTATGGGCTAGGTATACTGGGGATGAATAGGATAGGGTCACAGTCCTCAAGGACTTCATCTTTTCTGGGAAATTGAAAGAAATAATCCCAATAGTGTCATGTGTAATTTAAGTTAGAGGTTTGGCTGCTATAACAGAAATTTAAAATAAGAGGACTTAAACAAAATAGATGTTTATTTCTATCTTGTAATAGTCTGGCCCTAAGGATAACAGGATTGATAGGACAGCTTCACAGTGTATTTCTTGGTTGTTGCTTATCCATCTGTAGAACATTGACTTAATCCACCCGGTCCAAAATAGCTCCATCCCATTTTTGTACATCCTTATTCCAGCCACTGGGGAGGGCAAAGAAGAAAAAGAAGGGCACAGTCTCTCTGTGAAGAGATGACTGAGAAGCAGTACATATGATTTTGGCATTCATCAGCAAGAACTTAACTTCTCCAACACAACTAAATTCAAGGCAGCCATCTACCCACTGATATTGACAGTGTCTGGAGATATTTTTGGTTGTCACCACTTGGGGAGGGGACACTACTGCCATCTTGTGGGTAGAGGCCTGGGATGCTAAACATCCTATAATACTCAGCCCTCACAACAGAGAATTACCTGGTCCAAAATGTCAGTAATGCCAAGGTTGAGAAACTTTGATGTAGAATAAGGAGAATATGGATGTTGGGGGATAATTAGCAGTGTCCTATGTGCAAAAATTCCTGAGCAAATGTTTGTTAAAATGTGCAGTGACGTGACACTGTATAGGAAGTTTTTCTATTCAATTTTGAGTTGTCCTTC